AAGCACGTTGTCACTGCTCGACTTCATATTAATTACAGAATTACCAAACAAATAATTACTTGTGCTATAAGAGTAAATTTCTTAGTCCAACTTAAGAAGTCAACGTATTATGGCGACATACAGTCTTGCTTTACAATTTCTTTATTACTTGATGTTAAAATCTTTTATAACAATGTCTGACAGATTCAAACCGCCCGCGTCTCTTCTTAGTGATATTAGGCAACAATTAAATTAACTTAGTTGCTTCCCCATCATCCAGGCCCTTCAATACGACGACTGGTGCTGTATAAACAGAGTCTCTCTCTAGCGTTTTCGATATATTATATAAAATCTTCTCAGATTGTTACATTCTTCTAATGAAAGTTTGACCCTGACTGCACTGATCTGACCAAATTGACACCATAATATTATGGATCCGTGAAGTCGTGCTGGATGAATTGTACAAAAAGGGAACGTAAAAATAACCTTCTTCCGAAGAGGATACATCAAAGAAATCTCAGGGAAACCAAATATTGATTCCGAAAAAAACAGTACTACATCCACAAACATACACATACACACACACACACATACACACACACACACACACACACACACACACACACACACACACACACACACACGCACACACACACACACACAAACACATACACACGCAAGTTTACTCACATAAACATACAGTCATATATAACATATGTTGTTGTTGTTGTTGTTGTTATCGATCCAGCAACATTGGGGCTCTCGCCCTTCTGTTCAATGTCATGTCGTTATAAGTGCAGGTTTGGTGCAGTTGCTGTAATGTTCCGAAGAGTGTTCTCGGAGGGAGAAGTGTAGCTCTGATGTTATTTAGGGCAGTACAGTGGAAAGGGTGATGTTCAACTGTCTCATATGCATAGTCACACCAAGGACATATTGGGGGAAGTTCTTGTTTTATTCTGTTCAAGTGAAAGTTGAGCTGTATATGTTATGTTCGTAGGCACAAGATCGTGGTCTGTTTCTTTCTCTGCAGGTGGTCTTTTCGTTTTGTTGTAGTCATATGTTTGAAAACTGCTCTGCCTGTCTTTCCCAAGGCCCATCTGGTCATACAATCTTGTTTGCTGTTGTTTTTAACGACGATTTATTTTGCAGTGTTGTATGAAGTTGGAATGTTGGGTTGTTCCTGTCTAGATCCCCTTTTAGCGAGTGTGTCTGCTCTTTCTTTTCCAGGTATGTTTGAGTGTCCGGAAATCCACTGCATCACCAAGGTTGACGCCACAGGATGTTATCAGGAGCCAAACAGTGTATATGTCAACTCTTCGTTTAGATGATGGTCATTTTCTATTGCTTGCAAGACTGATAGTGAGTTGTGAAGATTACTATACTCTGTGTTTTGTTTGGATGAGGGTCAAACTGTGCGGAGATGGTATAGTGCTGTTTCAATTGCTATCCTTTTTGCATCGTAGTTGTTGCATTTCTCTCCACAGGCTGCTCAGATCTCATTGCAACTTCCATCTGGTTACTGTATTAGTATTCCATATCCGCGTTTGGTTGTGCCTTTGAATGCTGAGCCGTCTGTTTAGACGTGTATCCAGTCACCTGAATAGCTGTCGATTGTTTGATGTGATGCAAGCATCAACTTCACTGGGTCTGAAGATTTTGTGCTATTGTCTCTGAGAGAAGTTGTAATGATTGGTTTTTCCATAGAGATGTGGGGAGGGATGTTTTGGTTGACTCTTCTGGTTTCTCTTCTGTTTTGTGGTAGATGGTAGCTCTCCATTAGTTCTGTGATGCGATGCATGATTGGCTTTTGTTGAATTCGTTTCTTTGGTTTCCATGTTTCTACTAATTTCCTGTTCGGGTGGTTGGGGCACATTCTTTTGATTCTTTCATGGAGCTCCAAAACTGCTTTTTCTCTTCGAATTCCCCGGGGTTCAACATTTGAAAGAATTTCACATGCGGCAGTAGGTGTAAATCTCATGCCACCGTTTATGAAACGAAGGGCATTATTTTGGATCTTGTCAAGGGTAACACTACAAATATTGAGTAGGTTGTTGCTGTATTCCAGGGAAGATCGGACATAACCAAGGTATTAGAGCTCTCAGAGTTTGTTTGTCTGATCCTCATGAACTGCTTGCGAGTTTCTTTAAAAGTTGGAGTCTTCTTTTCACCTTGTTCTTTATGCTCTCAACTTGGCTTTTCTTTGTTAGACTTTGGTAAAGCTTGACTCCTAGGAACGTTGGTTGTTCTTCTTTGGGGAGTTTTTCATTTCCTATCTTCAGTTGGAGTTTTTCTTTGGCTGTTTTATGGCTCTTTGAAAAGATGGCGTATACTGTTTTCGTGCAGTTTATTTTGAGCTTCCATTTCTGACAGTAATTGTGGAGCTTCTTGAGGTCTTCATTTAATTGTCGTGTTCCTACTGCCGTGCAGTGATGTGTCTGTCAGAGAGCAAGATCATCAGCGTAGAGAGTCTTTTCTGATTTCAACACGTTCGTCACATCATGAAAAAAGATTAGGAACAAAGTGCAACTCAGACAGGAACCTTGGGGTAGACCTTTTTCGAGTACTTATCATGATGAGTGGGCATTGTTCACCTTTGTTTCGATGTTTCCATCCGCTAGGAAAAACTTGGTCCATTTATAAAGTTTCCCGTGTATCCCGAGGTCCATCTTTTTCTTAAGTACGCCTTTTCTCCACACTCTGTCGTACACCTGTTGGAGATCTACAAAGATGGCAACAGTGTGTTTAGTCTCCTGAAAACCATCCTGGATGTCTTGACTTAGCCTGAAAAGTTGGTCTTCCATGTTGCTGCCTTTTTAGAAACCTGCTTGGTGTTGGTCCAAGCTGTTGGGGTTTTTCAGGTACCGGTAAAGGCGTTTGTTCACAATTTTTTCGGCAAGCTTACCAATACATGATGTTAGTGATAAAAGTCGGCAGCTCTTCGTTTCTCCATGTGGTTTCCCCTTCTTCAGGAGCGGTATGATCTGGGCGATCCTCCTTTCCGCTCGTTCTCCACATGGCGTAGAACATATTTTCCTTTAGCACCACTGCATTTCGTAGCGTATTTTGTCTGGTCCTGGGGCTTTCTTTTGCTTTAATCTTTTTAGGGCCGGTCAAAGTTTCATTGTGCAGAAGTCCTCCTAGAAAAGGATGTAGTTCACGATAGGGGCTTTTTATTCGTGCTTAGCCTTGTTTATGAGGAGTCGGCCTCAGTTAGTCTACTTGCCCTGTTAACAGAGGTAGGAAATATCGGTTAAAATGTTTAGCTTTTTTTTAGCTTCTGGTCTTCTGTGATGGTGTTGCCTGAAAGGAAAATAGGTTTGTGGTTGCTTTTTTGTCTTTCTACCGGTAGGTTGCTGACAAGGGACCAAGCCTTTCTTCCATTAAAAATTTTTAAGATTGAAACGGTCTGGGATAGGAGTTAGGTTGATTGGGATGTGGTTCATCCACGACCAACCGCTGAAAATCTGGAATTAAATCTGGATCAAACAGAGATAGACCTATATATGAAAAGTTGAAGTCATTTGAATTTTCAATTTTGGGGAATTGTCGTTAAAAATACTAGTATTGGTTTTTTCATATATAGGTCTATCTCTGTTTGATCCAGATTTAATTCCAGATTTTCAGCGGTCGGCCGTGGACGACAAACATCCCAATCAACCTAACTCCTATCCCAGACCGTTTCAATCTTTAAAATTTGTAATGGAAGAAAGGCTTGGTCCCTTGTCAGCAACCTATCGGTAGAAAGACAAAAAATCAACCACAAACCTATTTTCCTTTCAGGCAACACCATCACAGAAGACCAGAAGCTAAAAAAAAGCTAAACATTTTAACCGATATTTCCTACCTCTGTTAACAGGGCAAGTAGACTAACTGAGGCCGACTCCTCATAAACAAGGCTAAGCACGAATAAAAAGCCCCTATCGTGAACTACATCCTTTTCTAGGAGGACTTCTGCACAATGAAACTTTGACCGGCCCTAAAAAGATTAAAGCAAAAGAAAGCCCCAGGACCAGACAAAATACGCTACGAAATGCAGTGGTGCTAAAGGAAAATATGTTCTACGCCATGTGGAGAACGAGCGGAAAGGAGGATCGCCCAGATCATACCGCTCCTGAAGAAGGGGAAACCACATGGAGAAACGAAGAGCTGCCGACTTTTATCACTAACATCATGTATTGGTAAGCTTGCCGAAAAAATTGTGAACAAACGCCTTTACCGGTACCTGAAAAACCCCAACAGCTTGGACCAACACCAAGCAGGTTTCTAAAAAGGCAGCAACATGGAAGACCAACTTTTCAGGCTAAGTCAAGACATCCAGGATGGTTTTCAGGAGACTAAACACACTGTTGCCATCTTTGTAGATCTCCAACAGGTGTACGACAGAGTGTGGAGAAAAGGCGTACTTAAGAAAAAGATGGACCTCGGGATACACGGGAAACTTTATAAATGGACCAAGTTTTTCCTTAGCGGATGGAAACATCGAAACAAAGGTGAACAATGCCCACTCATCAAGATAAGTACTCGAAGAAGGTCTACCCCAAGGTTCCTGTCTGAGTTGCACTTTGTTCCTAATCTTTTTTCATGATGTGACGAACGTGCTGAAATCAGAAAAGACTCTCTACGCTGATGATCTTGCTCTCTGACAGACACATCACTGCACGGCAGTAGGAACACGACAATTAAATGAAGACCTCAAGAAGCTCCACAATTACTGTCAGAAATGGAAGCTCAAAATAAACTGCACGAAAACAGTATACGCCATCTTTTCAAAGAGCCATAAAACAGGCCAAGAAAAACTCCAACTGAAGATAGGAAATGAAAAACTCCCCAAAGAAGAACAACCAACGTTCCTAGGAGTCAAGCTTTACCAAAGTCTAACAATGAAAAGCCAAGTTGAGAGCATAAAGAACAAGGTGAAAAGAAGACTCCAACTTTTAAAGAAACTCGCAAGCAGTTCATGAGGATCAGACAAACAAACTCTGAGAGCTCTAATACCTTGGTTATGTCCGATCTTCCCTGGAATACAGCAACAACCGACTCAATATTTGTAGTGTTACCCTTAACAAGATCCAAAATAATGCCCTTCGTTTCATAAACGATGGCATGAGATTTACACCTACTGCCGCATGTGAAATTCTTTCAAATGTTGAACCCCTGGGAATTCGAAGAGAAAAAGCAGTTGTGGAGCTCCATGAAAGAATCAAAAGAATGTGCCCCAACCACCCGAACAGGAAATTAGTAGAAACATGGAAACCAAAGAAACGACTTCAACAAAAGCCAAACATGCATCGCATCACAGAACTAATGGAGAGCTACCATCTACCACAAAACAGAAGAGAAACCAGAAGAGTCAACCAAAACATCCCTCCCCACATCTCTATGGAAAAACCAATCATTACAACTTCTCTCAGAGACAATAGCACAAAATCTTCAGACCCAGTGAAGTTGATGCTTGCATCACATCAAACAATCGACAGCTATTCAGGTGACTGGATACACGTCTAAACAGACGGCTCAGCATTCAAAGGCACAACCAAACGCGGATATGGAATACTAATACAGTAACCAGATGGAAGTTGCAATGAGATCTGAGCAGCCTGTGGAGAGAAATGCAACAACTACGATGCAAAAAGGATAGCAATTGAAACAGCACTATACCATCTCCGCACAGTTTGACCCTCATCCAAACAAAACCAAAACACAGAGTATAGTAATCTTCACAACTCACTATCAGTCTTGCAAGCAATAGAAAATGACCATCATCTAAACGAAGAGTTGACATATACACTGTTTGGCTCCTGATAACATCCTGTGGCGTCAACCTTGGTGATGCAGGGGATTCCCGGACACTCAAACATACCTGGAAAAGAAAGAGCAGACACACTCGCTAAAAGGGGATCTAGACAGGAACAACCCAACATTCCAACTTCATACAACACTGCAAAATAAATCGTCGTTAAAAACAACAGCAAACAAGATTGTATGACCAAATGGACCTTGGGAAAGACAGGCAGAGCAGCTTTCAAACATATGACTACAACAAAACGAAAAGACCACCTGCAGAGAAAGAAACAGACCTACGAACATAACATATACAGCTCAACTTTCACTTGAACAGAATAAAACAAGAACTTCCCCCAACATGTCCTTGGTGTGACTATGCATATGAGACAGTTGAACATCACCCTTTCCACTGTACTGCCCTAAATAACATCAGAGCTACACTTCTCCCTCCGAGAACACTCTTCGGAACATTACAGCAACTTCACCAAACCTGCACTTATAACGACATGGCATTGAACAGAAGGGCGAGAGCCCCAATGTTGCTGGATCGATAACAACAACAACAACAACATATGTTATATATGACTGTATGTTTATGTGAGTAAACTTGCGTGTCTATGTGTTTGTGTGTGTGTGTGTGTGTGTGTGTGTGTGTGTGTATGTGTGTGTGTGTGTATGTGTATGTTTGTGGATGTAGTACTGTTTTTTTCGGAATCAATATTTGGTTTCCCTGAGATTTCTTTGATGTATCCTCTTCGGAAGAAGGTTATTTTTACGTTCCCTTTTTGTACAATTCATCCAGCACGACTTCACGGATCCATAATATTATGGTGTCAATTTGGTCAGATCAGTGCAGTCAGGGTCAAACTTTCATTAGAAGAATGTAACAATCTGAGAAGATTTTATATAATATATCGAAAACGCTAGAGAGAGACTCTGTTTATACAGCACCAGTCGTCGTATTGAAGGACCCGGATGATGGGGAAGCAAGTAAGTTAATTTAATTGTTGCCTAATATCACTAAGAAGAGACGCGACGGTTTGAATCTGTCAGACATTGTTATAAAAGATTTTAACATCAAGTAATAAAGAAATTGTAAAGCAAGACGCCATAATACGTTGACTTCTTAAGAAATTTACTCTTATAGCACAAGTCATTATTTGTCTGGTAATTCTGTAATTAATATGAAGTCGAGCAGTGACAACGTGCTTGACTAAATACATCGTTGCGACTTCGATCAATGAATATCTTGCCGTTTTAAATCATTAAATAATGTTCCTAGTTTTTGTTTGTTGATTCTCAGTTTTATCTTCCTCCTTCTCACTTTAGACAATGTCAGCAATTCTCGTTCCATAAATTTAGCCTGTACCCCCTGTTTTCGTCTCAAACAAAGTTGTACACACACACAAACACACAAACACACACACACAAACACACTCTCTCAAACACACCCACAAACACACACACACAATCACACACACACACACATACACACACACACACACACACACACACACACACACACACACACACAAACACATAGACACGCAAGTTTACTCACATAAACATACAGTCATATATAACATATGTTGTTGTTGTTGTTGTTGTTATCGATCCAGCAACATTGGGGCTCTCGCCCTTCTGTTCAATGCCATGTCGTTATAAGTGCAGGTTTGGTGAAGTTGCTGTAATGTTCCGAAGAGTGTTCTCGGAGGGAGAAGTGTAGCTCTGATGTTATTTAGGGCAGTACAGTGGAAAGGGTGATGTTCAACTGTCTCATATGCATAGTCACACCAAGGACATGTTGGGGGAAGTTCTTGTTTTATTCTGTTCAAGTGAAAGTTGAGCTGTATATGTTATGTTCGTAGGTCTGTTTCTTTCTCTGCAGGTGGTCTTTTCGTTTTGTTGTAGTCATATGTTTGAAAGCTGCTCTGCCTGTCTTTCCCAAGGTCCATTTGGTCATACAATCTTGTTTGCTGTTGTTTTTAACGACGATTTATTTTGCAGTGTTGTATGAAGTTGGAATGTTGGGTTGTTCCTGTCTAGATCCCCTTTTAGCGAGTGTGTCTGCTCTTTCTTTTCCAGGTATGTTTGAGTGTCCGGGAATCCCCTGCATCACCAAGGTTGACGCCACAGGATGTTATCAGGAGCCAAACAGTGTATATGTCAACTCTTCGTTTAGATGATGGTCATTTTCTATTGCTTGCAAGACTGATAGTGAGTTGTGAAGATTACTATACTCTGTGTTTTGGTTTTGTTTGGATGAGGGTCAAACTGTGCGGAGATGGTATAGTGCTGTTTCAATTGCTATCCTTTTTGCATCGTAGTTGTTGCATTTCTCTCCACAGGCTGCTCAGATCTCATTGCAACTTCCATCTGGTTACTGTATTAGTATTCCATATCCGCGTTTGGTTGTGCCTTTGAATGCTGAGCCGTCTGTTTAGACGTGTATCCAGTCACCTGAATAGCTGTCGATTGTTTGATGTGATGCAAGCATCAACTTCACTGGGTCTGAAGATTTTGTGCTATTGTCTCTGAGAGAAGTTGTAATGATTGGTTTTTCCATAGAGATGTGGGGAGGGATGTTTTGGTTGACTCTTCTGGTTTCTCTTCTGTTTTGTGGTAGATGGTAGCTCTCCATTAGTTCTGTGATGCGATGCATGTTTGGCTTTTGTTGAAGTCGTTTCTTTGGTTTCCATGTTTCTACTAATTTCCTGTTCGGGTGGTTGGGGCACATTCTTTTGATTCTTTCATGGAGCTCCACAACTGCTTTTTCTCTTCGAATTCCCAGGGGTTCAACATTTGAAAGAATTTCACATGCGGCAGTAGGTGTAAATCTCATGCCATCGTTTATGAAACGAAGGGCATTATTTTGGATCTTGTTAAGGGTAACACTACAAATATTGAGTCGGTTGTTGCTGTATTCCAGGGAAGATCGGACATAACCAAGGTATTAGAGCTCTCAGAGTTTGTTTGTCTGATCCTCATGAACTGCTTGCGAGTTTCTTTAAAAGTTGGAGTCTTCTTTTCACCTTGTTCTTTATGCTCTCAACTTGGCTTTTCATTGTTAGACTTTGGTAAAGCTTGACTCCTAGGAACGTTGGTTGTTCTTCTTTGGGGAGTTTTTCATTTCCTATCTTCAGTTGGAGTTTTTCTTGGCCTGTTTTATGGCTCTTTGAAAAGATGGCGTATACTGTTTTCGTGCAGTTTATTTTGAGCTTCCATTTCTGACAGTAATTGTGGAGCTTCTTGAGGTCTTCATTTAATTGTCGTGTTCCTACTGCCGTGCAGTGATGTGTCTGTCAGAGAGCAAGATCATCAGCGTAGAGAGTCTTTTCTGATTTCAGCACGTTCGTCACATCATGAAAAAAGATTAGGAACAAAGTGCAACTCAGACAGGAACCTTGGGGTAGACCTTCTTCGAGTACTTATCTTGATGAGTGGGCATTGTTCACCTTTGTTTCGATGTTTCCATCCGCTAAGGAAAAACTTGGTCCATTTATAAAGTTTCCCGTGTATCCCGAGGTCCATCTTTTTCTTAAGTACGCCTTTTCTCCACACTCTGTCGTACACCTGTTGGAGATCTACAAAGATGGCAACAGTGTGTTTAGTCTCCTGAAAACCATCCTGGATGTCTTGACTTAGCCTGAAAAGTTGGTCTTCCATGTTGCTGCCTTTTTAGAAACCTGCTTGGTGTTGGTCCAAGCTGTTGGGGTTTTTCAGGTACCGGTAAAGGCGTTTGTTCACAATTTTTTCGGCAAGCTTACCAATACATGATGTTAGTGATAAAAGTCGGCAGCTCTTCGTTTCTCCATGTGGTTTCCCCTTCTTCAGGAGCGGTATGATCTGGGCGATCCTCCTTTCCGCTCGTTCTCCACATGGCGTAGAACATATTTTCCTTTAGCACCACTGCATTTCGTAGCGTATTTTGTCTGGTCCTGGGGCTTTCTTTTGCTTTAATCTTTTTAGGGCCGGTCAAAGTTTCATTGTGCAGAAGTCCTCCTAGAAAAGGATGTAGTTCACGATAGGGGCTTTTTATTCGTGCTTAGCCTTGTTTATGAGGAGTCGGCCTCAGTTAGTCTACTTGCCCTGTTAACAGAGGTAGGAAATATCGGTTAAAATGTTTAGCTTTTTTTTAGCTTCTGGTCTTCTGTGATGGTGTTGCCTGAAAGGAAAATAGGTTTGTGGTTGATTTTTTGTCTTTCTACCGATAGGTTGCTGACAAGGGACCAAGCCTTTCTTCCATTACAAATTTTAAAGATTGAAACGGTCTGGGATAGGAGTTAGGTTGATTGGGATGTTTGTCGTCCACGGCCGACCGCTGAAAATCTGGAATTAAATCTGGATCAAACAGAGATAGACCTATATATGAAAAAACCAATACTAGTATTTTTAACGACAATTCCCCAAAATTGAAAATTCAAATGACTTCAACTTTTCATATATAGGTCTATCTCTGTTTGATCCAGATTTAATTCCAGATTTTCAGCGGTTGGTCGTGGATGAACCACATCCCAATCAACCTAACTCCTATCCCAGACCGTTTCAATCTTAAAAATTTTTAATGGAAGAAAGGCTTGGTCCCTTGTCAGCAACCTACCGGTAGAAAGACAAAAAAGCAACCACAAACCTATTTTCCTTTCAGGCAACACCATCACAGAAGACCAGAAGCTAAAAAAAAGCTAAACATTTTAACCGATATTTCCTACCTCTGTTAACAGGGCAAGTAGACTAACTGAGGCCGACTCCTCATAAACAAGGCTAAGCACGAATAAAAAGCCCCTATCGTGAACTACATCCTTTTCTAGGAGGACTTCTGCACAATGAAACTTTGACCGGCCCTAAAAAGATTAAAGCAAAAGAAAGCCCCAGGACCAGACAAAATACGCTACGAAATGCAGTGCAAACTTGGTGCTAAAGGAAAATATGTTATACGCCATGTGGAGAACGAGCGGAAAGGAGGATCGCCCAGATCATACCGCTCCTGAAGAAGGGGAAACCACATGGAGAAACGAAGAGCTGCCGACTTTTATCACTAACATCATGTATTGGTAAGCTTGCCGAAAAAATTGTGAACAAACGCCTTTACCGGTACCTGAAAAACCCCAACAGCTTGGACCAACACCAAGCAGGTTTCTAAAAAGGCAGCAACATGGAAGACCAACTTTTCAGGCTAAGTCAAGACATCCAGGATGGTTTTCAGGAGACTAAACACACTGTTGCCATCTTTGTAGATCTCCAACAGGTGTACGACAGAGTGTGGAGAAAAGGCGTACTTAAGAAAAAGATGGACCTCGGGATACACGGGAAACTTTATAAATGGACCAAGTTTTTCCTTAGCGGATGGAAACATCGAAACAAAGGTGAACAATGCCCACTCATCAAGATAAGTACTCGAAGAAGGTCTACCCCAAGGTTCCTGTCTGAGTTGCACTTTGTTCCTAATCTTTTTTCATGATGTGACGAACGTGCTGAAATCAGAAAAGACTCTCTACGCTGATGATCTTGCTCTCTGACAGACACATCACTGCACGGCAGTAGGAACACGACAATTAAATGAAGACCTCAAGAAGCTCCACAATTACTGTCAGAAATGGAAGCTCAAAATAAACTGCACGAAAACAGTATACGCCATCTTTTCAAAGAGCCATAAAACAGGCCAAGAAAAACTCCAACTGAAGATAGGAAATGAAAAACTCCCCAAAGAAGAACAACCAACGTTCCTAGGAGTCAAGCTTTACCAAAGTCTAACAATGAAAAGCCAAGTTGAGAGCATAAAGAACAAGGTGAAAAGAAGACTCCAACTTTTAAAGAAACTCGCAAGCAGTTCATGAGGATCAGACAAACAAACTCTGAGAGCTCTAATACCTTGGTTATGTCCGATCTTCCCTGGAATACAGCAACAACCGACTCAATATTTGTAGTGTTACCCTTAACAAGATCCAAAATAATGCCCTTCGTTTCATAAACGATGGCATGAGATTTACACCTACTGCCGCATGTGAAATTCTTTCAAATGTTGAACCCCTGGGAATTCGAAGAGAAAAAGCAGTTGTGGAGCTCCATGAAAGAATCAAAAGAATGTGCCCCAACCACCCGAACAGGAAATTAGTAGAAACATGGAAACCAAAGAAACGACTTCAACAAAAGCCAAACATGCATCGCATCACAGAACTAATGGAGAGCTACCATCTACCACAAAACAGAAGAGAAACCAGAAGAGTCAACCAAAACATCCCTCCCCACATCTCTATGGAAAAACCAATCATTACAACTTCTCTCAGAGACAATAGCACAAAATCTTCAGACCCAGTGAAGTTGATGCTTGCATCACATCAAACAATCGACAGCTATTCAGGTGACTGGATACACGTCTAAACAGACGGCTCAGCATTCAAAGGCACAACCAAACGCGGATATGGAATACTAATACAGTAACCAGATGGAAGTTGCAATGAGATCTGAGCAGCCTGTGGAGAGAAATGCAACAACTACGATGCAAAAAGGATAGCAATTGAAACAGCACTATACCATCTCCGCACAGTTTGACCCTCATCCAAACAAAACCAAAACACAGAGTATAGTAATCTTCACAACTCACTATCAGTCTTGCAAGCAATAGAAAATGACCATCATCTAAACGAAGAGTTGACATATACACTGTTTGGCTCCTGATAACATCCTGTGGCGTCAACCTTGGTGATGCAGGGGATTCCCGGACACTCAAACATACCTGGAAAAGAAAGAGCAGACACACTCGCTAAAAGGGGATCTAGACAGGAACAACCCAACATTCCAACTTCATACAACACTGCAAAATAAATCGTCGTTAAAAACAACAGCAAACAAGATTGTATGACCAAATGGACCTTGGGAAAGACAGGCAGAGCAGCTTTCAAACATATGACTACAACAAAACGAAAAGACCACCTGCAGAGAAAGAAACAGACCTACGAACATAACATATACAGCTCAACTTTCACTTGAACAGAATAAAACAAGAACTTCCCCCAACATGTCCTTGGTGTGACTATGCATATGAGACAGTTGAACATCACCCTTTCCACTGTACTGCCCTAAATAACATCAGAGCTACACTTCTCCCTCCGAGAACACTCTTCGGAACATTACAGCAACTTCACCAAACCTGCACTTATAACGACATGGCATTGAACAGAAGGGCGAGAGCCCCAATGTTGCTGGATCGATAACAACAACAACAACAACATATGTTATATATGACTGTATGTTTATGTGAGTAAACTTGCGTGTCTATGTGTTTGTGTGTGTGTCAGAGCTACACTTCTCCCTCCGAGAACACTCTTCGGAACATTACAGCAACTTCACCAAACCTGCACTTATAACGACATGGCATTGAACAGAAGGGCGAGAGCCCCAATGTTGCTGGATCGATAACAACAACAACAACAACATATGTTATATATGACTGTATGTTTATGTGAGTAAACTTGCGTGTCTATGTGTTTGTGTGTGTGTGTGTGTGTGTGTGTGTGTGTGTGTGTGTGTGTGTGTGTGTATGTGTGTGTGTGTGTATGTGTATGTTTGTGGATGTAGTACTGTTTTTTTCGGAATCAATATTTGGTTTCCCTGAGATTTCTTTGATGTATCCTCTTCGGAAGAAGGTTATTTTTACGTTCCCTTTTTGTACAATTCATCCAGCACGACTTCACGGATCCATAATATTATGGTGTCAATTTGGTCAGATCAGTGCAGTCAGGGTCAAACTTTCATTAGAAGAATGTAACAATCTGAGAAGATTTTATATAATATATCGAAAACGCTAGAGAGAGACTCTGTTTATACAGCACCAGTCGTCGTATTGAAGGACCCGGATGATGGGGAAGCAAGTAAGTTAATTTAATTGTTGCCTAATATCACTAAGAAGAGACGCGACGGTTTGAATCTGTCAGACATTGTTATAAAAGATTTTAACATCAAGTAATAAAGAAATTGTAAAGCAAGACGCCATAATACGTTGACTTCTTAAGAAATTTACTCTTATAGCACAAGTCATTATTTGTCTGGTAATTCTGTAATTAATATGAAGTCGAGCAGTGACAACGTGCTTGACTAAATACATCGTTGCGACTTCGATCAATGAATATCTTGCCGTTTTAAATCATTAAATAATGTTCCTAGTTTTTGTTTGTTGATTCTCAGTTTTATCTTCCTCCTTCTCACTTTAGACAATGTCAGCAATTCTCGTTCCATAAATTTAGCCTGTACCCCCTGTTTTCGTCTCAAACAAAGTTGTACACACACACAAACACACAAACACACACACACAAACACACTCTCTCAAACACACCCACAAACACACACACACAATCACACACACACACACATACACACACACACACACACACACACACACACACACACACACACACACACACATACACACATACACACACCCCAAGCAGTCGACGATGCGCTTTTCCAATTCGTCAACCCGCAGCCACATCCCAAAAAAGGGTGTTGAACCCGTTCCATAAAAACAAATATAATGGCAGTTCTTCAGTAGAACATTCACGGTTTGCGTGCCTTTTTCTGGCCTCGCACACCCCAAATGTTATCTGTCTGCAAGAGACACAATTACCAACGCCCACATTCACATTAAAAATGGTCAAACTTACAACCAAATATACACCGGCAACCAAATCGCCCCTGGAAGCAACTCCATTTTAATAAATAACAAACACTACACAGACAAATTACACATAATTACAACACTTCAGGCAGTCGCGGTCACAGTCACGCTACGCCGTCCTTTAACTTTCTGTTCTGTATACATCCCTCCAAATTTACCGACTATCTTTAAAAGAACTAATAAACCTTAGAAAACAGCTCTACCAGCTTTCATCATGTCAGGAAATTTTGATGTCCAACTGATTATCATCGAAGATTTCTTATTTTAAAAAACCAATACTAGTATTTTTAACGACAATTCCCCAAAATTGAAAATTCAAATGACTTCAACTTTTCATATATAGGTCTATCTCTGTTTGATCCAGATTTAATTCCAGATTTTCAGCGGTCGGCCGTGGACGACAAACATCCCAATCAACCTAACTCCTATCCCAGACCGTTTCAATCTTTAAAATTTGTAATGGAAGAAAGGCTTGGTCCCTTGTCAGCAACCTATCGATAGAAAGACAAAAAATCAACCACAAACCTATTTTCCTTTCAGGCAACACCATCACAGAAGACCAGAAGCTAAAAAAAAGCTAAACATTTTAACCGATATTTCCTACCTCTGTTAACAGGGCAAGTAGACTAACTGAGGCCGACTCCTCATAAACAAGGCTAAGCACGAATAAAAAGCCCCTATCGTGAACTACATCCTTTTCTAGGAGGACTTCTGCACAATGAAACTTTGACCGGCCCTAAAAAAAATAAAGCAAAAGAAAGCCCCATTTTCACCAGACAAAATACGCTACGAAATGCAGTGCAAACTTGGTGCTAAAGGAAAATATGTTCTACGCCATGTGGAGAACGAGCGGAAAGGAGGATCGCCCAGATCATACCGCTCCTGAAGAAGGGGAAACCACATGGAGAAACGAAGAGCTGCCGACTTTTATCACTAACATCATGTATTGGTAAGCTTGCCGAAAAAATTGTGAACAAACGCCTTTACCGGTACCTGAAAAACCCCAACAGCTTGGACCAACACCAAGCAGGTTTCTAAAAAGGCAGCAACATGGAAGACCAACTTTTCAGGCTAAGTCAAGACATCCAGGATGGTTTTCAGGAGACTAAACACACTGTTGCCATCTTTGTAGATCTCCAACAGGTGTACGACAGAGTGTGGAGAAAAGGCGTACTTAAGAAAAAGATGGACCTCGGGATACACGGGAAACTTTATAAATGGACCAAGTTTTTCCTTAGCGGATGGAAACATCGAAACAAAGGTGAACAATGCCCACTCATCAAGATAAGTACTCGAAGAAGGTCTACCCCAAGGTTCCTGTCTGAGTTGCACTTTGTTCCTAATCTTTTTTCATGATGTGACGAACGTGCTGAAATCAGAAAAGACTCTCTACGCTGATGATCTTGCTCTCTGACAGACACATCACTGCACGGCAGTAGGAACACGACAATTAAATGAAGACCTCAAGAAGCTCCACAATTACTGTCAGAAATGGAAGCTCAAAATAAACTGCACGAAAACAGTATACGCCATCTTTTCAAAGAGCCATAAAACAGGCCAAGAAAAACTCCAACTGAAGATAGGAAATGAAAAACTCCCCAAAGAAGAACAACCAACGTTCCTAGGAGTCAAGCTTTACCAAAGTCTAACAATGAAAAGCCAAGTTGAGAGCATAAAGAACAAGGTGAAAAGAAGACTCCAACTTTTAAAGAAACTCGCAAGCAGTTCATGAGGATCAGACAAACAAACTCTGAGAGCTCTAATACCTTGGTTATGTCCGATCTTCCCTGGAATACAGCAACAACCGACTCAATATTTGTAGTGTTACCCTTAACAAGATCCAAAATAATGCCCTTCGTTTCATAAACGATGGCATGAGATTTACACCTACTGCCGCATGTGAAATTCTTTCAAATGTTGAACCCCTGGGAATTCGAAGAGAAAAAGCAGTTGTGGAGCTCCATGAAAGAATCAAAAGAATGTGCCCCAACCACCCGAACAGGAAATTAGTAGAAACATGGAAACCAAAGAAACGACTTCAACAAAAGCCAAACATGCATCGCATCACAGAACTAATGGAGAGCTACCATCTACCACAAAACAGAAGAGAAACCAGAAGAGTCAACCAAAACATCCCTCCCCACATCTCTATGGAAAAACCAATCATTACAACTTCTCTCAGAGACAATAGCACAAAATCTTCAGACCCAGTGAAGTTGATGCTTGCATCACATCAAACAATCGACAGCTATTCAGGTGACTGGATACACGTCTAAACAGACGGCTCAGCATTCAAAGGCACAACCAAACGCGGATATGGAATACTAATACAGTAACCAGATGGAAGTTGCAATGAGATCTGAGCAGCCTGTGGAGAGAAATGCAACAACTACGATGCAAAAAGGATAGCAATTGAAACAGCACTATACCATCTCCGCACAGTTTGACCCTCATCCAAACAAAACCAAAACACAGAGTATAGTAATCTTCACAACTCACTATCAGTCTTGCAAGCAATAGAAAATGACCATCATCTAAACGAAGAGTTGACATATACACTGTTTGGCTCCTGATAACATCCTGTGGCGTCAACCTTGGTGATGCAGGGGATTCCCGGACACTCAAACATACCTGGAAAAGAAAGAGCAGACACACTCGCTAAAAGGGGATCTAGACAGGAACAACCCAACATTCCAACTTCATACAACACTGCAAAATAAATCGTCGTTAAAAACAACAGCAAACAAGATTGTATGACCAAATGGACCTTGGGAAAGACAGGCAGAGC